CGCAGATTCCCTCAGTCTCTCCGCCCTCCCGCATTTTCCATAGAACATGGAGGTGTTGGGATCTATCACAGTGTGAGTGTTCCATGTGTGTCCCTCGGGAGAGTGGTGTCACTGCTGGTGTGTGGTGATGCTGTTCTCCCCACTGAGATGGGCCTCAGAGTAGCGAGAGAATCGTGGGGGATGGTTCTCACGTTCATTGACTTGGGGGACTATTATCAGGGCCTATGGGACGTTGACCTTCTCCTCGTTCCCCAGCACTGGGGCCCCTGGGAGTTTGGCCTCTTGCACTCAAGTGTCGAGGGCCAGCTCTGCTCTGAGGGGAGGGACGTGGGGCTGACTCAGGCACATCCCCCTGCTGGGAATGTTAGTGTTTTCCCTTTGTGAGCAGCACAAGAAATAACATCTGTACTCTCTTCCCCACCAAGCAGGGGCGAGGAACCTGATCAGGGCTGAGGGGCAGACTCCTGAGGAAGGGCGTGGCAACCTGGAGCCACTCAGGCCTTTCCCAGGGACATCAGGGGAGAACCATTCCAAGAAAACTGAGTGGGGAAGACACCACAAGAGGCAGGGCAGGCCACAAAAGCAGAGGAAGAATCTGACCAGGAAGGAGCCAGCAACCCCAAGAAGTCATCAGAGGAGATCCAGGTCACATCTAAAGCCACCTGAAAAGGGACAATCTGAGCCCAGAAAGACCCTATATACCTGCCGTGTGTGCAGGGAAGAATTCAAGGTGCAGAGAGACCTGATAAGCCACCACTGGACAGTTCATAGAAGACAGAAACTGTATCACTGTAGCGAATGTGGGGAGAGCTTCAGGAGAAAGAAGGCATTCAAAGCACATGGGAAAACCCACAGAAAGGAGAGAGCCCATCCCTGTTCTGAGTGTGGGAAGATATTCAGCCAGTTATCACTGCTCACTGCCCACCAGAGAATACATACGGGAGAGAGACCCTATCGCTGTGCTGAGTGCGGAAAAAGATTCTTCCAAATAACAGCTCTTACCATCCACAAGAGAATCCACTCAGGAGAGAGACCCTATGCCTGCGCTGAGTGTGGAAAGAGATTTATGGATTCATCAACATTTCGTAATCACCAGAGAATCCACTCAGAAAAGAGACCCCATCGCTGTAGCCAATGTGGGAAAGGCTTCAAACTTACATCAAGTCTTACTAGACACCAGAAAATCCACAGCGGAGAGAGACCCTTCCTGTGCCATGAGTGTGGGAAACAATTCTGCCTACGAGAACATCTCATTAGACATCAGAGGATCCACACTGGGGAGCAACCCCATTGCTGTGGTGAGTGTGGGAAAAAATTCAGTCTCCTTCAAAGTCTCAGGAGACACCAAGGAATCCATCGTACTGGGGGACCGCATCGATGCGCTGAGTGTGGGAGAATATTCGGTCATCCAGAAAGTCTCACTCTGCACCAGAGGATCCACACTGGGGAAAGACTCCATCACTGTGGTGAATGCGGGAAAAAGTTTGTCCGTCTAGTACAACTCAGAGTCCACCAAAGAATCCATACTGGGGAGAGACCCTATTACTGTACTGAGTGTGGGAAAAGATTCACCCAATCGTCAGGCCTTATCAATCACCAGAGAATCCATTCAGGAGAGCGACCCTATCCCTGCACTCAGTGCGGGAAGGTCTTTGCTCACTCATCGTCTCTTACCAAACATCAGAAAATCCATTTGGAAAAGAAGCCATACTCCTGCGCTCAGTGTGGGAAGCGCTTTGCTCGCTCATCATCTCTCACTAAACACCGGAGCACCCACTCAGGAGAGCGACCATATTCCTGCGCTCAGTGTGGGAAGCGCTTTGCTCGCTCATCATCTCTCACTAAACACCGGAGCACCCACATAGGATAGAGACTCCTGACTCTTGTGTTTGATTGGAGAAACCTCTTCAATCTCTCATTTCACTCTTTTCCCAAAGCCTGTAAAAGAGGGAACCTGCTCCCACTCTGAACTGCTCCCACCTCCTCACTAACCAGGCATTAGGTTCAGTGCAGGGTTTGTTAAAATAATTTGTGTGGCCCTGGAGATGGGAGAATTTCACCCTAGAGGCACCAAAACAATCCTTGTGGGTTGCAGCTGGGCCAGGGATGACTGGAGTCGGGACTGTGCTTTAGAGGCCCAGGCCATTCACTCACTGTGGCTCCCATCCTCTCGGGCTCCGCTAATGGAATGTGTTTTATTTCCTTTCTTTTCCCCTTGGAAAATGGAAAAATGGACAAAGATTCTGGCACAGACTGAAAAGGAGCTTTCTTCTCCTGCGTTAATGAAAGGTTGTGACATCCCCTGCATGTACTGAATCAAAAGGAAGGGCATTTTGATTTGGCTTTGAGATAAAATTATGATGCAAGCTGTATGCATAATGCAGCCAGGGCCCTGTCTTCACACCTAATCGCCAGGCAAGCAATACCAGCTAGGACTGGAAGGTTGGAGCCTGGACTTTCTGGGTCACACCAATGATAATACGGCTAAAGTCAAGACACCACTTTTCTGAAATAGTTGAACCTCTCAGACAGTACATCAGACACAACATTTCTTAGAAACAGCGGCAATAGGTGGTGTGGGATAATATTTTATTTTGATGATGCACTTCTTGATGGATAGACGAGTCAGATTTGCATCCCCTAGTCCAGTGGTTCTCAACCAGGGGTACGTGTATCCCTGAGGGTAGGCAGAGGCCTTCCAGGGGGTACATCTCATCTAGATATTTGCCTAGTTTTACAGCAGGCTACATAAAAAGCACTAGGAAAGTTACAAACTAAAATTTCATACAGACAATGACCTGTTTATATTGCTCTATATACTATACACTGACATGTAAGTACAGTATTTATATTCCATTTTATTTATTTGATAATTATATGGTAAGAATGAGAACGTCAGCAATTTTTCAGTAATAATGTGCTCTGACACTTTTTTGTATTTTTATGTCTGGTTTTGTAAGCAAGTATTTTTTAAGTGAGGTGAAACTTGGGGTATGCAAGACAAATCTGACTACTGAAAGGGGTTCAGTATTCTGGAAATGTTGAGAACCACTGCCCTAGTCTCTCTGAATCAGCTCTCACATGCTCCTCAGAATAGCCATATGAAATGAAAGATCCTTCTTCATTACAACAGGATACATTGTGGTGGCAGGTGGTTTAACTTACATCTTTACCCACTGGGGCTTCTTCAGTTCCCCATCCTGTTCCTGTGGCACTCAAGAACAAATAGTATTCTATTTGGTTATGGACTGCCACCTTTATCATCTTGATGGTAGATGCATGCCCTTGATGTCTCCAGATGCTGCTGCCATGATAGCGTGACTACATCACTTACCCAACATCTAATTCATTGTTTGTGCCATCAGAAGCCATACGCCAGAAAAAAAGGCAAGGGCAGGGATGAGGGATTGATATAGTAGAGGTTTCAGAGAGCTGCTTCCTGTTATAATGGTTTGTTTTCTGAATAATTTGAGTTTATGTCCCTGGAAGAGGAAGTGGCACTTTAAGTCCAGTAACACTGAGATGTACCTGGATCTCAACCCTGACACGTAATGCCAAGGAGTGAGGGAAATTATCTCTGAGCACCTTTGCTGTACTTTCCAGGCTGGGACTTGTTTGCTGCTAGTTGTAGGTGTTTTCAATAAACAACTAGTGGAGTTGCAGTCCCAGCCCAGAGTGTGACATGGGTGTGAAACAGCCAGGGGTCATAGGGCAGGGACAGAGATGGAATCCTGCGTGAAAACAGACAGCCCAGAGAGCACTCTTTGAGGAGAGGGAGTCTTAAATAGAGAGGGAAAGAAACTAGTCCCAGCAACGTTCACAGATGAAACTGAGCAGCAGCACAGGGCCAGTGTCTCCTCGTTCGTCCAACTGGGGAAATCCGTGGCCGTGCCTCTCTTTTGGAGGGTGATGATGAGATGCAACTTTATCTCACTGTTGTGTCATCATTCCTGGAGGGCATAAAATAATACAATAGAATTATGAGTCTGAAATAGCTGCTGCCATGTGTGTAGGTGAAGACCTGCAATCTTCCGTGCAGTGATGACTTTGCCATGTTCCAGTCACTCTTGGGAGATGATGTTGGGGAGAAGCAGCCATCTTGCCTTTCTTTTTGGAGATGGTTATGCCAGCTGCAGTTCAGCTCCATTGTAATCTGTTTTAAATTATTATCCGCACTCTAAAAATGGGGGTGTTAGAGCATTGAATTAGTTAAAATCTCCCAGAATACTTTGTGCTTATGCTAAGATTTATTGTGCAAATTTACTAGTTGTTAAATTGGTCTAACCTTTGTTCATTAGTATATGCCGAATGTCAGACGTAAGATGTATACTCCGTTAAGGTTTGCCAAATATGAACTGTGTGCTAGGTACAGTTAGTGCAAATGTTTCCTTGATCTAATGCTACTTGTGTGTGCTATGGTCTACTGCCAGCTAAACTGTTGTGTGCATAATGAGATAAGAAAAGGTGTGTAAGGTCTGTGGAATCTGGAATTTTCTGTCTCCTAAATGAGGAAAATCCAAATATGAGCAAAACTGAACTCATAGTTTGGAACAGAATGAAGATGTAAACCGCTGCAAGACAGTTCTCCAGATTGGGTATGTACTGACCTTTCTGTATTACACTGATTTTACTTCCAATCAATAAATCGGTTGAGTTTGGTTATCTGACATCTTGACTCGCTATCAAACTCTAATTGCTTATAGCAATTATTGTGTCCCTTTCTCCCTTTAGTGACTCTGAGCTGTACTTAGGGTACGTCTATACTTACCTCCAGGTCTGGCGGTAAGCAATCGATCTTCTGGGATCGATTTATCGCGTCTTGTTTAGACGCGATAAATCGATCCCGGATCGATCCCGGAAGTGCTCGCCGTCGATGCCGGTACTCCTGCTCCGCGAGAGGAGTACGCGGAGTCAACGGGGGAGCCTGCCTGCCGCATGTGGACCCGCGGTAAGTTCGAACTAAGATACTTCGACTTCAGCTACGTTATTCACGTAGCTGAAGTTGCGTATCTTAGTTCGAAGTGGGGGATTAGTGTGGACCAGCCCTGAGACTGAACTGCCTCAGGGGGACATGTAGGGAAACAGTTTTTCAGCCCCTAATGGTTAAAACTCATGAGATTTTTCTAAAATAATAAAAGTTGGAGGTTTTTTCTTGCTTTAGGTTTCTGAGCTGTTAGGGTGCACTGGTTTTAAGTTTTCAAGGTTTTCTCTGCTACGATGAGAGCTAGAAACTTACCTTTTGTAATAAAAGCTGAAATTCTCTTGCAATACAATGGAAACCACCTGAACCCCTGCTCCCCTCCCACCCCTTAAGTGCCATCCCCATCCCTCCCCTGGACCAGCTTTAGCAATTTCCAAGCAGACAGATTCTCCTGGTGTGTATCTGGGCGCACGTGACAGTTGCTGAGTGATCAGCATGGGCTCCAGGGTCAGTTTATCATTATGGCCCTTTTTATTTACTCCTCAGACAGAATAATTTATTAGGAACCTGATCCTGAGTCACGGTCCCCTCTGCCCCTGGAGCTTCATCTGGGATGCCCCTCCACCGAGATGGGGTAGGGCTGCCTGGCCATAAATGGTGAAAATGGTCAGGAAAGGAAATGGGGGTGATCTCATAAATCCCTGTGAAGTGTGATTAGCCCCATAGGATGCAGGGGGGCAGTGACCTCTCAGGGGCTGAGGCCGGGGCAGCCCGTTGTGGCCCCTCAGGGAACATTCACTGGGAACCTTAGAAATTCAGGCACTGTTTGATCCTTCTGAGCCTATTTTCCCCTCTTGCCCCCTGCAGCTGCTGCTCCCAGGGATTAATGCTGCAGTGAAGGTTTTGGATTGTGGGATGGAGCCAATAGAGGCCCAGACCCTCCTTCTCTGGGCAATTCACACTCTACTTTCAAACTGTAGAACCCTGCCCCCACTCCTAATTACCAACTGCCATTCTGAGCTGGGGAAGGACCATTCTCGCCTGTTGAGGGGGAGGGAGGGAGTTGGAAACTTATGCCCAGACTCGGGATAAAAGTTCCCAGCTGACATGATGAACCATTTCACTGCGAGGATGGGGATGGGTAGGGGGGATAGAATTATAGAAGATTATGGTGGAAAGAGACCTCAGGAGGTCATCTAGTCCAACCCCCTGCTCAAAGCAGGACCAACACCAACTAAATCATCCTAGCCAGGGCTTTGTCAAGCTAGGCCTTAAAAACCTCTAAGGATGGAGATTCCACCACCTCCCTAGGTAACCCATTCCAGTGCTTCACCGCCCTCCTAGTGAAATAGTATTTCCTAATATCCAGCCTAGATCTCTCCCCCTGCAACTTGAGACCATTGCTCCTTGTTCTGTCATCTGCCACCACTGAGAACAGCCGAGCTTCATCCCCTTTGGAACTTCCCTTCAGGTAGTTGAAGGCTGCTATCAAATCCCCCCCTCACTCTTCTCTTCTGCAGACTAAACAAGCCCAGTTCCCTCAGCCTCTCCTCATAAGTCATGTGCCCCAGCCCCCTGATCATTTTTGCTGGACTCTCTCCAATTTGTCCACACCCTTTCTGTAGTGGGGGGCCCAAAACTGGACGCAATACTCCAGTTGTGGCCTCAGCAATGCTGAATAGAGGGGAATAATCACTTCCCTCAATCTGCTGGTAATGTTCCTACTAATGCAGCCCAATATGCCATTAGCCTTCTTGGCAACAAAGGCACACTTCTGACTCATATCCAGCTTCTCATCCACTGTAATCCCCAGGTCCTTTTCTGCAGAACTGCTGCTTAGCCAGTCGGTCCCCAGCCTGTAGTGGTGTATGGGATTCTTTTGTCCTAAGTACAGGACTCTGCACTTGTCCTTGTTGAACCTCATCAGATTTCTTTTGGCCCTATCCTCCAATTTGTCTAGGTCACTCTGGACCCTATCGCCACCCTCCATCATATCTACTTTTCCCCCCAGCTTAGTGTAATCCGCGAACTTGCCGAGGGTGCAATCCATCCCATCATCCAGATCATTAATAAAGATGTTGAACAAAACTGGCCCCAGGACAGACCCCTAGGGCACTCCGCTTGATACCGGTTGCCAACTAGACATTGAGCCGTTGATCACTACCCGTTGAGCCTGACAATTTAGCTAGTTTTCTATCCACCTTATAGTCCATTCATCCAATCCATACTTTTTTAACTTGCTGGCAAGAATACTGTGGGAGACTGTATCAAAAGCTTTGCTAAAGTCAAGCTATATCACGTTCATTGCTTTCCCCATATCCGCAGAGCCAGTTATCTCATCATAGAAGGCAATCAGGTTGGTCAGGCATGACTTGCCTTTGGTGAATCCATGTTGACTGTTCCTGATCACCTTCCTCTCCTCCAAGGGCTTCAAAATGGATTCCTTGAGGACCTGATCCATGATTTTTCCAGGGACTGAGGTGAGGCTGACCCGGTCTGTAGTTCCCTGGGTTCTTCTTCTTCCCTTTTTTAAAGATGGGCACTATATTTGCCTTTTTCCAAATGTCCAGGACCTCCCCCGATCGCCATGAGTTTTCAAAGATAATGGCCAATGGCTCTGCATTCACATCAGCCAACAACCTCAGCACCCTCGGATGCATTAGATCTGGACCCATAGACTTGTGCATGTCCAGCTTTTCTAAATAGTCCTTAACCTGTTCTTTCACCACTGAGGGCTGCTCACCTCCTCCCCATCCTGTGTTGCCCAGGACAGCAGTGTGGGAGCTGACCTTGTCTGTGAAGACTGAGGCAAAACAAGTATTGAGTACTTCAGTCGAAGGATGCCAAAGGCTGAAATTTCACCTGTTTAATTTTGGTTGGTTTGGATTTCTGAACAATCA